CTTTTTTTCTAACTCACTAATTATAATATAAAACATTATCAAGTGAATACAGCATTCAAATAAATGCAATTATTGATGGTTAAGAGCAGAAGGAATTTAACAAACATCATATTATTTGATTTCACACATTATAATTATGGCATTCCAGTCTCTATACATTAGACAAGATAGAATACCATTAAAATTACAATTAAAGTGATTGTAAACCATGACATATACCCAGTGCAGCAACAAGCCTTGATAGAGAGATTAAACATAAGTTGTACCTGTTTATCTGCGACCATCTCTTTTGTAGATCATTCTAAAAACACACGTATCAGAGGATTTGTTTCTCAGTCTGAAGTCTCACAGTGCAGATCCCAGCACGGGGAGCCCTGATTGGGATAGGACTCACCCCCTTCACACAGTATACAGAGAACATGCGGAGCTGTGGCTGTGAATCACAGGTGGTATGCTGGAGCTCTCTTCCAAGTCAACTTTTTATCTCTTGGTGTCAGGCAAATCTATCAGAAGTCACTCATACTTATAATAGGAACAAGGCAGCAGGGAAAAATCACACTCAATGCTTTGGATAGAGGCAAGTACATAGTATAGGCGGATGTTATTTGTTCATATTTCATGTCTGAGGTTTACAATTACTTTAATACAGTTAAAGATATCATCATATGCTGCACTGGTATGATGGTCAATCTGTAATCTAGGTATTACTAAGAGGTAAGTATAGACTTGTGTTTATGCTTCACTAATGTGAAATGCCACTAAAAATGTGAAATGCCTTTTGTTAATTTCAACTTTGGTCAAATTGGCTCCATTCCTAATTTCTATACAACCAAATTAACATGACCCAGAGCAAATTTACAGTTAGGATGGCCTTGGATAAATATTCAGTAGCTTTTTCCTAGTCGGAAGGCAACTACTCAACAGTGAAATAACTTTTCTTTAAACACCCTGTATGTATTTCCACTTCAAGTGGCATTTAGAGAACAAAGACTGGAAATCAGGGGCGGACTGACCATTTGGAAACTCGGGCACTGCCTGAGGGCCCAGAGCCAGTAGGGGGCTCCATGAGATGCCCCTGGTACCTTTTTCATAGGCTTTCTTAAAGTTGGGCAAGGACACAGGGGCCCCATGATCCCCTATTGCCTGGGAGCCCCATGAGTTGTCAGTCTACCCCTGCTGGCAATATAAAGAGAAGATAAGACCCGCATTTAGTTCAATATAGTCCACCAAAAGTAAATGTTTTGCTCATCGGGATTTATTACTAAAGGTACATAGACTGTTCAGTTTGCAAGGGAATTATCCCCAAAGCTTAGTGAATGAGGAGAAGCTCTGCTGTTTACCATCATCCAATCATGTGCAAGCAAATCCGCTATTTTATTCTCTTGCACATGTTTGGGTTTTCTGCATAACCACATTCACTAAACACTTTGTCTATTTACCTTTAGTAAATCAACCCCATCGTGTGCATTGCCCCAGTCAGTCTTTTTGATCTTATATGCAATGCAGATGTTGGGAATGCATGCAAGGCTCTTATTTTAATGCCTATGTACAGTATAAGAGGCTTTAAAAAAAATTAGTCAAGCCTTAAAAAATTCTCTAGTTTACAGAGTGAACTATGTGCAGCAGAGCAGAGATCTGAAGATCATGTTTATAGTTATGCTATAATTATGTTTAGCATGAAAACACATCAGCAAACCTTAAGGATTCCAATTAGATGCTTAATTAACCATAGTGATCTTAGCGTTCTGAAGCAGTAGACTGTTGAAAATGAGTCACTGGTATTATGACAATATAAAAAAAATGCATGCACTGATTAAATCATCTCTCACATAAAATGTAATTTGTAGTATTATTTAAATATGTATGGTTTTATGACAACACTGAATGGCTGGAGAAGGAAAGGATTGGTGTGCAAAAGCTATATTCTGTATAGCCAACTTGAAAGAACATTCTACAAAAATACATAAATATGCAAATAGGTTGCTTTATTAAATTTGGAGTAAAGAAAATGAGAACTAAAAATTGCAGTTGTAACACTAACAACAGTGCTAATCAAAAATAAATTTAAAAAATAAATTTCATAGAGTTGATGTTTCATAGAGTTGCATGTTCAGAAAGTGCAAAGTTCAATAATTCAGATGCTAATTTAAGGTAAAATGTTCAAACTCCTGTTCTTTCATGCTGTTAATCTCCTATGGACACCCAAATGCTGGTACACTCACTATGGTTGGCCAAAGCACACCAAGGTTGCACACAATGATCTGGAAGTGGTACGGATCTCTTACATGCATTTTAGTTGATTTAACTAATTTAATTAAAATTTAAATATGGAATTTATGGATCACATGAGCACTTTGTGTAGGGGTTAGGTTAATCAGGCATATGAAGCGCATGTTTTTTTTTTTTTTTATTTGTGATTAGCACTATTTTTAGTGTTCCTTTTTTCAGTACCTAATTGATATTTACACAGAAGCTGGGATGGGACATAGTTACACTTTTAGCACCAGTTCACACCACAAAAACATCCCCAAGAATCATTGTGGACACATTTCTGCATGCACTTTTTAATGCTTTTTTTTATGCATTCGGGATACATTTTTAATGCATTTCTGGATGCATTCTGAATGTATTTTACCCTCCTTTTTTTGGAGTCATTTCACTTCCAAAATCTTTCTTTTCAAGAAAATTAATTATTTTCCTTTGCTTCCCTTTTTTTCACTGTATTGTGGTCCGGTGCTTTTTTGATGCATTCCAATACAGTTCTGTGCAGGAAAAAAGCAGCATGTTGTACTTTTTTTTTTATGAAACTCAAAAGTACTGGAATGCACCGTGCTGATGTGAACTATGCCATTGTAACACATATAACCTACTTTCCAAGCTGACGGGGTAGTGGTAACTTGTTAATCTAACTGCAAGTAGGAGTGATGGAGAGTGCTGCTGCTAGCATGGCAACCATCTGGGATGTCTTTCATTCTCAGTGACAAAATATTCCATGATTACTACTTTATGGTCCAGGATTTAGGCATGAGTCCACTTTAAAGGCTAAGCTCACCTTTAGTAACATTTTACAACCATACTTAGGATGTAACATGTTAACATACAGCACCTGACTGTACCCCCCCCCCCCCCATTCCCCTCTTGTGACAGCGGGCTGGGGTTCTTCTCCCCACTCCTGCTGTTACAATTTAAAAATGGCTGCACTCACCCATCTGCATCTTTCTCATCAGTCCCATCTGATACCACAGCAGATGGCTTGTAGTTCTTAATGAACTGTGAGGGCATCAGCGAGCACTGTTGTAGTTCATTAACACTTCCTACAGCCTTCAAACAAAAAGTTTGTGCAGAGGTATGGGCAGAAAGCTGCAGTGTCTGCAGGAGCCTGACATTGCAACCACGATCTGCTGCAAGCTCCCAAAAAAAAAAAAAAAAATGCACATTTGTTTCTTCTGCAAAAAAATGTGCATTTATTATGTTTTTTTAAAGGTAAACTAAGCCTTTAAGGCCCATTGCAATACCATTCATCGCATTTATTTGAATGGGCTGTCTATGTATACAACAGACCATCAAAGACACCTGTACATTTTTTCCAACACAGAACACCGTATCTGTGCGCCACATGCTGAAGTGCTGTTTGCTTAGTTATTTTCACTAAGTGTGGGATTGAACAATGAAGTCTCCTGTAAGCATGTTCTCAGTGATAAGTTGACAAGCATTGTGCAAAGGCTCAAAGTGCTTCCCCTCATCCTTGCGGTGTAGGAAGTTACAGGTGTCAGACATCTATATTATGACTTTTAACTGTTACATAACCAGATTAAATGTTTTTTTTACATTTCTGGCTGGAGTTCCACTTTAATTTTTATTGGCCTCTACAACTATTCTTTTAAGAAACTACATATTTATAAATATTAAAAACATTTTTCAGTACTTTTGAACTTCAACTATGTTACTGGTTTGATCATACATATTAGAATGCAAGTAACTGCTATAGATTTCAAAATAGACTAATGGGGTCAAGGAGCAATATATTTCACGTATAATCTATTTTGTATTTTTCTTTTCTTTAATTAGAGTAAAGTCCCTAAATCACATTAAATGGAGTGCTTATTAATATTTATGCTGCTATGTTCTTTATATACTTATTTTATATTACGAAAACTATCTTTAAGCCAGTTAAAGTGAAACTCCAACCAAAGTATATTTCTTTAGTTTTTTTATGGAGAGAGGGTTTTTATAGCATTTAAACTTTTTTATTAATATTATTTTAGTCCAGCTCAGTCTTAGGGGGGAGTTTAACTTTCTTCCTATCATGGTATTACTTATCGTCTGTCAGGAGTGAAGGAAATTTCTGTAATGAAAAGCATAACAAACCTTATATGATATAAACTGTGACAATGCTGTGGAGTAAATGCCAGATAGGGTTCTCACTGATGCAGGATGAGGGGCTCACTGTGGTAATGCTGAGTGGAGATAACTGGTTTTACAGTGGTAACTCCTGGGTTGGGTCTTGAAGTCCAGAGGCTTTGACAAGTTTTGAGAGGGATTAAGCCTCTAACTCTGGGTCCACAGCTTACTGGAGACCAGCAGCCTCAGTGGGCAGGTGTGCACAGTCTTTTTTCATCAAGGGTCTGATTCAGAGTGACTTTTACCCTGGAGACAAGCTGCTGCAGGAGCAGCATATGGGTGTGCAAGCAGACCCTGGGAGATTGTCAGTGGTGCTTTTAACCAATTGCCTACTGGGCACTTATACCCCCTTTGTGCCCAGGCAAATTTTCAGCTTTCAGTGCACTTTGAATGACAATTGCACTGTCATGCAACATTGTACCCATATGAAATTTGTATAATTTTCTTTTCATACAAATAGAGCTTTCTTTTGGTGATATTTACTCACCACTGGGTGTTTTATTTTTTGCGCTATAAACAAAAAAAGAGCAAACATTTTGAAAAAAAAAGTTTCTTTGTTTCTATTATAAACTTTTGCAAACATGTAATTTTTCTCCTTTACTGATGTGCGTTGATTAAGCTGCACTGATAGGCAGCACTGATAGGTGGCACTGATGGGCAGCACTAATGGTCACCGATATGTGGCACTGATATGGCACAATTATGGGCACTGAGACAAAACGGATGGGTGGCACTGACTGACGGCACTATCGGCACTAATGGGCAGCACTGCAGGCTGGCACTGATCATCAGTGCCCTGATGATTGGTGCTGATCCATTCTCTGACAATTGCCGTTATCAGCAGTACTTTCCATGGCTGATCACATGGTAAAAAGCCACTGTGATTAGCCTTTTACCACATCACATGATCAGTTGTGTCCGTAGGACACAGCGATCACGGACATCACCGGGGGTGCGCTATCTGCAGTCAGCAAATGGTTAAGGAGAGGTCATTTGACCAAACCAGCAGCCTCAGTGGGCAGGGTGCACAGTCTTTTTTAACCGCTAGCCTATAGTAGAAGTACTGCTACATGGCGGCAGGGCTACGTAAAATCATATATATATATGTGTGATTTACATTTCTGGGTAGGGGTCACATGTGCACCCGGCGATCACCAAGTAAAACTGACAGGGGAGAGACCTGTGAGTAAACTGCCAGCATGGACATGCTGCTGTGTATTTCTCTACACAGCAGATAATACACAACAGCATGTTTCTTTAGTAAAACCCACACAGCAGATTATGTAAAAACAGCACACAGTAAAACCCCTTGATCGCCCCAGATGTTAACCCCTTCCTGCCAAGTGTCATTAGTACAGTGTCAGTGCTTTTTATTAGCACTGATCACTGTATTAGTATCATTGGGATGTCAGTGGCAGTTAGTTCCCACCCAGTGTCAGAATGCCTGCCGCAGTCCTGCTATAAGTCGCTGATTGCCACCATTACTAGTATTAAAAAAAATATAAAAATTCCAGTATATATACCGCCATTTGTAGACTTTCACGTAAACCAATTAATTTACAAGTATTGGTATTTTTGTTCAAAGACATGTAGCAGAATACATTTTGGCCTAAAATTATGAAGCAATGTGATTGTTTAAATTTTTTGTACTGGATATGATTTATAGCAAAAAGTCAAAAAAAAAATTTTTCTTCAAAATTGTCAGTCTTTTTTTTTTATAAGAGCAAAAAAAAAAAAAAAAAAAAAAAACAAAAAAAACGCACAGGTGATCAAATACCACCAAAATAAAGCTCTATTAGTGGGGATAAAAAGAACATAAATTTAATTTATGTATTAGTGTTGCATGATCGCACACTTGCCTGGTTAAATTAACACAGCGCCGGATCGCAAAAAATGGCATGGTCAGGAAGGGGGGTAAATCCACTGGAGGGCAAATGGTTAATCAAGGGTCTGGTGGTGATTCAGAGTGCCTTTTACCCTGGAGACAAGCTGCTGCAGTAACAGCATATGGGTGTGCAAGCAGAACCTGGGAGAGTGTCCATACTGCATTTAAAGAGAAGCCATTTGACCAGACCAGCAGCCAGTGGGCAGATGTGCACTTTTTTAATCAAGGGTCTGATGGTGATTCGGAATGCCTTTTACCCTGGAGAAAAAACTAGAAATCACAAACCCGTCTAGCGCACTACAAGTCCCAACCTTCAGGTTCCAATGTCCAATAGCCTGCGGAGATGGGGGGAGCGGATGGAATGAAAATTGCCAAAGGATCCTGCAGCTACCAATAGATCTGGGAAGATCCAAAAACAGCTTAAAAACAGCATATGGAGATCCACGAGGCACTGTCAACGATGTCGGCCATTAGCGGAGTTTGACAGCTGTCAGACTCACTCCTCCATTATGCCGGCTGAGGGATTGTAAATGGTCATCTAGTTAACACACTTGGTATTGCTTCTATGTTGTGATCTGCACCAGAGCGGTTTGTCAAGAGTTTTACACGCAGGGGTGGACTGATAACTTATGGGGCCCCCGGGCAATAGGGGATCATGGGGCCCTTGTGTCCTTGCCCAAAGTCAAAAAAGCCTATAAAAAAAAAAAAATGGTACCAGGGGCATCTCATGGGGCCCCCTACCGACCCCGGGCCCTCGGGCAGTGCCCGAGTTTCCAAATGGTCAGTCCGCCCCTGTTTACACGTGAGTATCATTTTTTAATTGTTCACTAAAACTACATATATTGCTGATGGAAATCCCGAGCTGATGTTCTTTTGTTTTTTTACCCTGGAGACAAGCTGCTGCAGGAGCAGCATATGGGTTTGCAAGCAGACCCTGGGAGAGTGCCCGTGCTACTTTTAAGGAGAGGTCAACTGACCCAACCATTGCCTGAGGGGTATTAAGAAATGGGGTGTCTCTAGGCAGCCCAGTGAAAAGCAATGGCAAAGTAGGCAATTCAGTTGACCAAGGACTGAGGGAACAAGTAAGTCTATATCACCAGGGCTCTATCTGCACATCATAAATTATTCAGTATAGAGAACAATACTTGAGAGTGCAGCGAGAAATACTCTATTTTTTGCTGTTTTATAGCACTGAGGTATTACATAAATCAAAGTAATAAGAAGCATAACTCATAACAGACAATATTAGTTAATACCTGTATGAAATGCCAATTAAACAATAAATAAAGTATATGCACTCAGCGCATTAGTTATTACATTGTGCTTGTATGTCATACATTGTAAGCTGGAATGAACATGGAAATAAAGGTTTTAAAGACACAGAAATATAATCTATTATCAGTTGTGGAACATGCTTATTTCTCCACACCTTTGTTCAAAGGAATTAGCATAATCGTTGTCATTAAAAACTAAATGGAACTAATTAGTATAATGCACTAAGTGCTATTTTTTCCCACAGCAAGCAGTCACCAAGATTAATTTTCCCCTGGGTAAATTAACGAAAACACATTGATGCATCTGTCAGCCCCCTTACAGCTGTAGGGCCAGAAACCTGTCGCACTTCTAATTGTCTGAACACACTTGGCATGGCAAAAGTCTTGCCTCTGCGATACATTAACTTTAGTGTTTATTAAATGTATACTTTTATATCTCTTAACTATGTTTTGTAGATTTTTCTACCTAGAAGAATTTTACATATTTTCAATGATTTTTTTTATAAAAGTTTTGCCAGAAACATAGGGGTTTATTTACTAAAGTTGGTTCACTCAGAATCTCGTGCACCTGTACATGGTAGCCAATCGGCTTTAATTCTCAGCTTGTAATCAATCTTTAGCAATAAAACCTGTAAACTGATTGTTTTTTCTGCAGAGATGCACAAGATTCTGAGTGAACCAGCTTCAGTAAATAAACGCAGAATATGTAACCAAATGCAAGCAATAGGTGGAATAAGGTAACTGCATACTCTTTAGACCATAAAGCCCACCATGAGCAATGACCTGCAGAAACTGCTGGAATGTGAGTGCATAGATAGAAAGTGGCCCCAAAGAGGCTGAAGGAGACTAGCAGCACTTAAAAAAAAAAAAAAAAAAAAAAAGAGCAGCGGGGGGGATCTATTTGGACAGTTCTATCCCTCTGTGACTACCCTGAAGCACCCAAAGCCTGCAGGAGGGGAGGGGCGGGGAGAAGACGACAGCTGCAGGAGAGCCACAGGGGATCAGTGCTGCGGGGAGAATGAGCACTGCTGTGGGGAATTGGTTGGATTGCTCCCGTTGTGCAGTGTGTGACAGGGCACAGTGGGCATCCTTCTCTTTGGGCCCATGTGCCCCCCACACACACTTACACACTGGATGACATTTCCACTGGTCCTCTTCTATTGGGCCATTCATTTGTTAAAAGGTTGTTTTGTCTTATTCCCCTATTTGACATGTAACACACAGTCCAAAGAGAATAGTTTGTTATTCTCTTCCTCCTCCTGTGTAAATTTGATGTCTTGTCCACTGAGTTTGTGTTCACTAAAAGCTGGTTTTGCCAATGTTCTAATCTTGACCCATGTATCATCCACATAGCTGAGCCAATGATTGAAAGAGTATATAGCATTCTTCCCAAACTACTCCATGAACAGGTTAGCTACAATAGAAGATACAGTTGAACTCATAGCACAGCCATGTTTCCTTTTGTAAAATGTATCCTTGTACTTTAAGTTAGTGGTGTCGAGACAGAAGTCCAGTGAAACACATACTGTAGCTTGGTCTGGCTTTAGTTCTGTTCAACTGTCAACTTAGTTCTGGTTACTGTCTTATCTAGTTTCAGATTTGTATTCACCTTCAGCCATGTGAATACAAGGATTAACACATTCACAGCACAGAGTTTCTGGCAACAAAGATGAGATTATGTAACTACAACAGGGTGGTTCTACAACTTTCACACCCTCTATCCTGTTTTTCGACCCAACATCATCTGCCTTGACACATTCCATTATGTTTGGATTAAGGTGTCTGTGCTACCTTGTGCAGATATAGATTCTGGGGCACGTTCATAACACTCATTAGAACTGAAGAAGTGTCTTGGATAAACTACGGAATGTCTTCATCATTACAGAGGAATGTAACTAACTGATACTAGTTGTACCTTGACAAGGATAAATGAACCTATACAGGCTTAAATCAAGAGCATCATTTTCTAGGTTAGATGTAGGTGTACAGGGAATAAGAGGTGTATTTTTAATTATGTTTTTCCAGATAAAGAAAGAATCTACATAAACAGTACAACATCATTTACTTCAATTGCATGCTATTTAATAAAAGCAGGCACATTCCCCATCTGCATTTGAAGATGCAATAGCATGAAACAGCTGCTTAACTCCCTCTGCCACCCTTGGTTTCCTGTGGAGAAATATATCAGTTTACGGCTACAAGAAAGCCCCCATAGATGTTAGAGTACTGGTGCCCAACCTGTTGACTGAGGTCAACATGTGACAACTGGTACTTGTTTTTCAGCCCTTGGACCCCAGTAGTTTGTAGTGGAAGTGTGAGCATTAATTTGTAAATGGGTAAGACCAGTGATCTCTTCACTGTCCTATGCAGCTGTCATTCAATCTAAAACTAAACCTTTAGCACATGTACATTCTCTGTCCATCACTTGTTTAACCACCCAACCACTCCTTAAACAGCTATGAGAATAAAAGCCATAACTATTGCTTTTCTAACCTGCTCAGTCAATATTCCCTGTGAGGTCAGCTGTTCATGGCTCCTCTAAAGACATTCAATTATTGCATCTGAAAAACAAAATTAGCTAGATAGGGTAGCTGTCATCTGTAGTCAGTGGGAGTTTTCTTGACCATCTTGTTGTTTACTTTTTATTATTGAGTTGAGTCTATATTTTCCAGAGTCTATGAAGTCATTTGCATCTGTCCCTGCTTCAGCTTAGAATGCTTAACAGAAGCTTAAGGATGAGCTGAAGGTTTGGTCCAGACTCTGGCTGTTTAGGAATTTGAATGCCGGAATTTTTGCATGTTCACCAGGAGCAAAACATAATATATAGTAGTAGTATGTTTACCACTACAATACAGTATATGACAGTTATCTTCCGTAGCACATCCCTCTTTAGGTCACCCCACAGATTTTCAATTTGATTCAGGCTGGGCCATTCCAAAACTTTGATCTTGTTCTGGTAAAGCCATTCCTCTACCTTGTCTCAGTTCCACAACGCATAATGCTGGTACCGCCATTCTTGACTGGGGGTATTGTTTTTTTTTTTGTAACGCACAGTATTGGGTTTGTGCTAAACATCATTTTTGGAATAAAAGGCCAAAAAGTTAAATCTTGGTCTTATCAGAAAAACATCCAAGCCCGGCTACATTTTGTAAAAAACTACATAAAAGTCTGACAAAAACATGAGGTAAAATGTGCTATGGTCTGATGAAGAGAATCCCCAAACCATTTTATTAGTCAATAGAAGTAAGCTTACAAAGTTATAATTTAACACCAAATTAAACAACATTTTCTCTCATTTGTACATGTCAATTTTGCTGTAGTAGATTGTATACTGATGTGCCATTTTACAGGCATGTTAAGAGAATCTCCTAGGAATGTTATTGAAATAAATTTAGCATTTTTAATGTTTCACTTTAACCACTTCCCAACCACCCTAAAGCAGTTTTACTGCTACAGGGCAAATCACTCTGCGCCAAAAATCACATAAATTTGCATGATTTTCATTTTAGTGCAGGGAGTGTGCGTGCCACTCTATCCATGCTGTCATTGGCCCCCAAAGATGTCAATCACTGGGTCCCAGCCAGTAATTCATGGCCAGGACTTGGTGATCAGCGGAGCAGTTGACAGGGGACTTGCTGCTTTTTATCTCTGTGCAAAACAGAGCGATAAAAACCAGCTAAACACAACAAAGTACACAGTAAAAACACACTCCCTATCAGACAGTTAACCCTTTGATCGCCTCAGGTGTTAACCCCTTCCTGCCAAGTGTCATTAGTACAGTGTCAGTGCTTTTTATTAGCACTGATCACTGTATTAATGTCACTGGAGATGACAGTGGCAGTTAGTCAGTTCCCACCCAATGTCAGTTAGTGTCAGATTGCCCACCGCAGTACCACAGTCCCGCTATAAGTCGCTAATCACTATTTAATAGTATAAAAAAAATAAAAATTCCAGTATATATACTGCCATTTGTAGACGCTATAACCTTCATGCAAACCAATATACCTTTATTGGGATTTTTTTTTTTTAAGACATGTAGCAGGATACATTTTGGCCTAAATTTATGAAGACATTTTCTTTCTATTTTTTATTGGATATGTTTTATAGCAAAAAGCAAAAAAATATTGTTTTGGGTTTTTTTTAACTTTGCCTTTTTTTTCGTTTACAGCACAAAAAAAAAAAATCCAGTGATGATCAAGTACCACCAAAAGAAAGCTCTATTTGTTTTAAAAAATGATATAAAATTTCATTTGTGTACAGTGTTGCATGGCCTCACAATTGTCAGGTAAAGTAGATTGGCAACGTAAAAAAAAAATGGCCTGGTCATGAAGTGGGGTAAATCTGCCGGAGAACAAGTGGTTAAGCATTATTAAAATCACTGCTCCTTCCAACACACTAAACGTGATTTAAAAAACTTTTTTTTTTTGCTTTGGCAAAATGATCACCAAAACAGTTCTCAGCCCCCAATACCATTGTTGCCAATCCCTTGCCTATTAGCTGAGACAATTTCCATTTTTGGTT